TTTATTTCTTTTCCTGCCACAGGTCCATAGGAAGAAATTCCAGTTGGAATATGTGGGACCTATTTACCTCGTTTTTATATATGTATTGTCCTTTGTGTTGTATGTGTGTACATCCTTACTAATCCTTATCCTTACTATAATATAATATTATAAATCGGAAAGTGAGTTTGTTTGTTTGTTTGTTCCGGTTTCACGTCACAACTACTAAACTGATTGCTTTGAATTTTCGCAGATGTATAGTTAGAAGTCCGGATTAAATAATAGGGTACTTTTTATCCCGGAAAAATTTGATATTCCCGAGGGAAAACAAAAGTATTGGTATAGATGGCGCTGTGTGTATTGGTATATGTCACATTGGCTTTTATCCTTTTGTGACGCGAGGGAAGCCGTGGGTAAAAGCTAGTAAATGATAAATAAATAAATATATGTATTTGTAAATAAATGCAAGCTATGATGAAACTGTGACATTGAAGTATTGACGTAGTAGCTACTCATACATTTACTCCACCTGTTCGAGTACCAATCAATGAAAATAGATGCCTACTTAATTATTGATTTAGGTATTTGTTTACTGCGTAAGAATGATGCGTCTAGATTTTTTCTGTCTTCTAAGGTATGAATTTATTACTTATCCGTTACCTAATGTAAATAAATTTATGAGATATAGGTAAACAACTGCAATTTATTTCTAACTTAAGGTGTACCCTGTAGGGTAGTATGATCGTCGAATTTCAGCTTTTCACGAGTTGTGTGTTTAGTACCTATAGCATGACGAATAGGGAATTATTTACTTATTTCATTCATATTATTGGTCAGTATAAATGTATTATCGGTTTATTTAAGCCAATGAAAAACGTCTATCACGAACAGCCGAAAATATCTACTTACTCAAGAGTTATGAGGTTTTTGACCCAGGTAAGTTTGACAAAAACAGAAACGTTATAGATAAGATGGTTATAAAAACTTTTTATTTATCAATGCGCTCCTTGATAACCTCGTATAACGAAATATTTTCAAGAGAATGGTAAATAACGGGAAGATTACGCTAAAATTTTTATTTGTATAACTACATACGCCTACTGTTTGTCATTTGTAATATATTTTCAACTAGCTTTTACCCGCGGCTTTGCTCGCGTCACAAAAGGATAAAAAGTAGCCTATGTGACATATACCAATACACACAGCGCCATCTATACCAATACTTTTGTTTTTCCTCGGGAATATAAATTTTTCCGGGTTAAAAGGTACCCTATTATTTAATCCGCACTTCTAACTTTACGTCTGCAAAAATTCAAAGTAATCGGTTGAGTAGTTACGGCGTGAAGGTGGAATAAACAAACAAACACACTTTCAGATTTAATATTAGTAAGGATACATTATGCAGTAATATTTTATGTGTGAATTAACTAAGCTAGTCAGAAATTCACTGAATATATTTAAAAAAAAAGAAGAACGTAATTAGGTTTCCATTTTTGAAAGTGGCCAGCTTGTCACAGATAATAATAATATACACATATATAATAGCATTGAAGTGTAAGAAGTACCTAAAAAATTAGGTATGGTTACACGCTTGATTAAATTAATTTGTAATTTACAAGCAAGGTTGGATTTCAAACAGGTAGATAATGCGAGGATGTGCTTGTACTGTAGTACATTGCTATTTCCTACTAATTTATAAAAAACCTTATTCGTCCAAACTTCGAAAACCGGTGGCGGGCTTGGCAAGATGCGATAAAAATATTTTTTATTTTTTAAAGGAAGTTTACATATCGCGTCATATCGATGTCCCACGTCCTTTTATTTATCCTCTAGGATAACGTTCGAATTATTATTTTGATAAGCAATGTTAAGTTCACAGAAATAGATAGTATAGTTTAGATAGTCAAATTATGGTCATTGGTCACTATCAGCTAGTAGTTTCCGCTGGCATAAAATTGGTGTCCCCAAATCTCCACACGTATCTAAAAAGCTGCAGCTTACATAGCATCACGCCTTTTATCCCCGAAGTGGTAGGCAGAGATTTCCACTTTACAATGTAACACCTACTTTTCAATATTTATGTTACGAGCCCCATGTAGGTAATAAGGGATGAGCCTATTGCCATATACCAGGTACAATTCCAGGCTCCACGCCACTACTGAGATTTTTTAAAAGGCTCCTAGCCGGGCTGTCGTACTTGCGACCACTCGGCCAACGAGGCAGTCTACAGCTTAAATAAAGTTAATAATCTGTATTATTAAGTATTTGTATTAGGGTAAAAATTACGTTCTTACTATGCTTAGATCATAGACAGTGTATCTGATATGACCTAGAATAATACCAATGCATGAGTGTAAGTCCAGTAGTCATTAAGCTCACGGAGATTTACTCAATTAAACTACATTGGAGTATATAAATGACACGTTGTAACGTAGGTATATGAAACTACATACTTGTGTCGATTCAATGAAAATGTAATTGTTGAATTACAACTCGATAAATACAATCACTCGTAGGTTATTTGCATAGCCGGTATAATCAGTGGTATTTTTAAACACAGACTATTTTATATTAAGCGTTAATTTTGATTCAGATCATCGACGTTTTACGAGGGATTTTGAGCTAACATATGAGCGACAAAGAGATAACATATGAGCTAGATATATGTTTCTACATCGTTGTAATATTGTTTACTTATTTACAAAGATGTCACCTGCCCTTGAGCCCGCTAATGTGGAGCATTCAGAGATGATGGAGACACAGGGGTTACTGTATATTTGTTTGGTTAACCGTGTTATCTTATCTTTAGCATACTGCGTAACCAATAGATGCGCTGACGGTTCTCTGTTGAAACTGAACTGTCCTTCAACTTATATTAAGTTCATTCCACATCACTTCGCACCTATTCGCATAAACAACGTATTTGTAATTCTAATGTTATTTAATGTATGGTTTAGTAAATAGTTTAGAATCACTGCTTTACTGTCTGGGGTGGCGTCTGCGTTATTACGATGGCTATTACTTTCTTAGTGATATTTCGAAGTCAAAGTGCTATATAAGAACATTGAAAAGCTGTTAGATTATAATATAATGTGTGAGTAGTTTTATTAGTAGGTACAAGGCGATTCTATACTTATACTTCTATCTTTGTTAGCACTGGTGGTTGGCACTGTATCTATTTACACACCCAATATGTTGACTAGTTGGCTTTCACATAGGTTTAGATGCAAATTATTGACATATAAACCAAACTATTAGATCTTATAAATACTGAAGCATTTGTAGTAGACTTCACTTTATTTACTAGTCATCATACGTACGCTTTGGCAATTAAACACGCATCATCCAAAGTCCTCGTTGAACTGAAGCAACCATGCGAAAAACTGGCCATCGTTACAAAGTAACCATTTTCTTGTACCTATGTAGGCCACGTTAGCAGACCCTGGTTCTTACGATACAACGTATAATTAACATTAAGTAGCGCTCGCAATGAAAAACCTCCCTCCACGACGCCGACGTTCAATTACACACGATTTCATATTATCAAGCCTCGTGATTTTTTCTCATATCGATGAGGTCTATTTATATGTAAGTACGAAATTAATTATATCTTTCATCACCTCTTTTTAAGCTCGGATAAAACTGTGTAGTAATTTATACGAGTGGAGATGCCTTCCAAAATCTTTACCAGATTTACATTTTCTTGGTATCTACCCTCTTACAAACATTTGTTAGTCATTCATTCATTAATTTTATTAATTTCACCTTCCTATTACAACTTCATTCTGTAATTTTTTTCTGTATACCGACAAAACTTACTCATTTTACTACAAATGACAGCGTATCAACATTTAGTATGAATCCTCATTGTTAAGTGACGTATTGTTAAGAAAAGACTAATTGATGGTAGTATCATGTACGAAAAATAAGAGTGATTCTTTACAAGAGTGTAAACTGGATATTTTTATTTATTTTATATTTGCATTTGCGATAGTGGACTAGTTATGGACGCGCAAAGCATCGATGCATTCGCCACAAGCATAAAAAAGGTAATAAATATTACTTTGTAGTGAAAGGAGTTGAATATTAAAGAAGTTGCTTTTATTAAGTTTTGTTTGACATTCGATTTTAAGTGGATATAATTTTTGAAAAATATTTGCAGTATGTTTCACTAATCCTACTTGAAATAAATTTGCCATGGCAAGCAGGTTCGCTTTCGAGTGCATAACTACTTAGAAGAGCTAAATACTATTCCATGGAGGATAATGAAATGCACGATACCAATAACAATACTTGTAGGTAGGTACACCTAACACTAACATCATTGACAACTCGCAACAGGTTTGCGAAAGTTGCAATCCCGTTAAATTCCAGTGCCAGTTAAGATCTCTTGTGAAATGCGGGATCCGTTAAAATTGCAATAAAAACTCGAGCCACCAGCACCGCTCGATACTGGTAGATAATTTCTCACATATTAAGCTGTCACTGAGTGCAGTTAGGAGTGAGATGGTCGGCCATTGACGCCTGTGTCCGGTGTGCGGCCGTGTAGTGTTACGTAACGACGAGAGACAGTTACGCAAAGTCAATGTCAAGAGCGCGTCAACACAATGCTATAGCAACAACCGATGCGAACTCAAGTCAAGTTCTCAGTCGAGCCACGCGACGTACAGCCGGCCCGCACGCGGGGTCGCCGACCACGATACCAAACAAAATCTTAAATCCGAAACTTGAACTTGTATGTACAAAGATTTTTGAACCTGATATCGACAATAAGAGTTAAAAGAAGCATGTATGTATGTAGGTACACAGATATTCAAGTGCGGTCAATGAACTTAGTGGATTATTGTCAATGTTACTCTGCGCCCTTTGTAACTTTTCATATTTAGGGGATCATACCATTTTACATAATTTTTCGCATAGACGTCTACAAGGAAATCCTAGATTACCTACCTAAGCTTTTGGCACTACTGCACTAGCCAATAAACGAATGTTTGCATTAGAATATCTTTTTGTTGTTGCAGGTCGCGCCGCCTCCTCTGGTGGATTGGACATGTATCCCCACGTTGGTACTGGTGGTGTTGCTGGTTCTAGTAGTGGCCTCAGCGCTAGCGGCTCGAGCGATGGCAGATGTCAGACCTGTCGAACGCTTACCCGGCCCCCTACCATTACCATTTGTGGGCACAAGGTGGCTCTTCTGGAGCAGATACAAGATGAACAAGCTACATGAAGCTTATGAAGGTGAGACATTTATTAAAAGTTTCACATTTTCTGAGACGGAAAATTAAAAACTTTGATAAAATTGAAGATATGTTCAGATTTAAACTTGACTTGAATTTATTTGTACAATTCCTTTATTTTACTCTATTTAAAATAAACTCTTAGAGAACGAAATTAAGTACATCCGAAAGTAAAACATCGAGACAAACACAAAGGTTCGGTGTTTCTTCAAGAGCAGTTAGTACCTAAGAAATGTCGAAATCACCAAGTTTTATTCTTTAAGATTTTATTTATAATTTATTTATGACCAGCCTGAATTGCAGCACAGACTGTTTATCGGGTGGATAACTTTGCTCGCCGCCTTTTATGACGAATGCGTTCACGTCTCAGATAGAAATGGAAACAACGTTGAGTAATCTAGAATCTAGAGTATCAGACATAATTAGGTTTCGAGATTAATTATTAATTCAGTAGCCAGCTATAAATAACTTGTTCTAGTTTACCAGACTTATTTGTAGTTTAGTATTTGTGTTATATTGATAAGAAAATAATTAACATTGTTAGGATGAAGTCGTTTATATGACTGTAGTAAAATTTTACTATAGTAAGTAGTCATGCAGATTGCCTAATATTCAATAAAAATAAATAAAGCAAGTGAGAACGTCTCAATAATGCTAATCGGTCGGGTTCGATACTTGGACCAGGTTAAGTATTATTAAACTTTTTTGGTAGTAGCACTGTGCCCAGAACTGTAGCCGACACCATACACCTAGTTCTGTCTGTATACAGACTTTCTCTTATAAATTCTCTTAAGGAAATAGATGATGGTGTTATATTGTATTTAAAAGCTAGTTTACGGTCACAATGAGAGATTTGCACACAGACATGTTCAGGCGTTACGGGTTGGTTTTCGCGGAGATCCACCCGGGGGGTGCCACTATGGTGTCAATCGCGGAGAGGGAGGCACTGGAGGCGGTGCTCAGGGCACCATCGAGGCGTCCCTACAGGCCGCCTACGGAAATCGTACAGGTGTACCGCAGAAGCAGACCTGATAGATATGCCTCTACTGGACTTGTCAATGAGTAAGTACTAAGTGATGTTATAATTTTATTAAGAGTAAAATCAAAATAGCTTTAGTAACCTGAACCAGAAGGTTCGATCGGTTGGCAACAGCATTACAAACGTATGAACGTAGAGACTTCTTTAAAACAGTGAAGAAGCTAATTTTGAATTGGTTTCTAGAACATATCTGTCTAATCATTAGCTAACTTTACCGGGGAATACTTTCATCACCAGACAGTAAATTAAGTTATTCCAGAAGGCTACAAACCAAAGGCCGATTATAGATAACGCCAATCATTTCGTTTTCAAGTCTAGAGTAATTGACATAGATTGCTAGTAATGTCAGTTATACTAAGTTATTTTATACGTAAAGCATTCATACTCTGCGGGTGGTGTGACCTCGAACCATTGGTATGGTTCTATTGTGTTCAATACTGAGATTTTGGCATGGCTTCATACTTCAAGTCACGTATATTTCGCATGGGTAGGCACTCTTTGATCGACGTTTCAATGTGACTATTCCGTTTAAGTAATAATCAACATATCAATAATCTATAGCACTGAATTAATTAAAAGCAATTTCTCCCCCAGAAGAACGCAATGACTAATTTTGCTTAGAGTAAATACTATATATTGTAACTTCACACCAATTTTTGACAAATAAAGTGCCTAATTAAGGACTGCAAGCTGACATTTTAATGAAAAACATCTCCTCAGGCACCATCCACGTTAGGCAGTTAATGCCTTAACAAGATCGTAAAATATAATCATTACTAAGACAAGCATGTAATTTCGTATGTTACGTTGACTGTGTCTATTATTGCCTAAACGAAATTCAGAGATTTATAAAACGCTCACGTTTTTTCGGCGGTAGAGTTTTCAAGGCCCAAGTACCTGTGGTACTAACTGGCTATCATAGATCTGGCTAGGTTAAATGTAACTATAAAATGCTAATAATAGTCCTAAGACATGGTCAAGGCTGAAATTTTATGGGTTCCGTGAGTTTTGTAAGAGGCGTATAAGGTCGATATGAGTGTACAGACGGGTAAACAAGGCTTGGCATTAAAGCTACTCTATTTATGTAACCTGAATGATTAATGAAAAGTTTGAGGTAAACCTTAGAATATTTTGAAGTAACGTGCGCAATATTTAACCTTAGAATAAAGCTTTTAAGCCTTAGAATATTTAACAAAAGGCAGTGACGGAGTAAGCCTTTCGGAGATTCAAAAGAAAGGAATCACATTAAATGAAGAATAAGAAGGTTTAAGTAACAATTTTTTTCGCCATATTTTTCAGACAAGGCGAAAAATGGTATCATCTTCGGCGTCACTTGACAGCAGAACTGACAAGTCCTAGCACAATGCAGGGCTTTCTTCCTGAACTCAACACAATTTGTGACGACTTCCTCGAGTTAGTGAACACAACTCGTCGTGCTGACGGAATTGTGCCTGGCTTCGATCAGCTCACTAACAGAATGGGATTAGAATGTAAGTTATTTGAGATGAAACAAAGTCTTTGTCCCCTTTATCTGATAACTAGGCGGAGGAACGAGTATAAACTTAAAACTGTACGGAGTAGAAGTTCAGAAGATTTGATGAACAAAAGAGAAATTAATAATTCAATCATACTGAATACTAACATAAGACATTCGTAAAAAGTACCTATAATATTTCTAAGAGGATCTAAGGGGTTTCTTTGACCCCTAGTTTTTATTATAACGCACACACATTCTTCTATCAAAAGATGCAACGCAAAGTTGAGAAAGAAGTTAATGACGATAAATTGCTGTAGACGTTGACGGTACTAGATCATCTGAACGTCTAATTGTGGTAATGCACGCAGGCCTTAAATGTGTATCAGGAATTTGATAAAAGTTGCGTTAGGACAATGAACAATGTTAGACTGATAAGTATAAAAGTAATGCTTATTAACATTTAAAATTACGAGAAAAACATCCCACGATATACAAGAATTATAACAGTTATACGACAATGTAAGTACAACATCGTTGAAAAATCATTAGTCCACCGCGAGTCCACCTAATTTTGCTAAAATATGTTAATGGAAATCAGAAATGCAGGGCATCAAAATATAATTATTATATTCAATATATTTAAGGAAACCTAACATTTTCCTTAAAATAATTGTCTCAATTCATTATATTTAGCCTTGTACGTTGCAATGTGTTTATCAAACATAGGTATCTAATAAATAATTTGCTGTCGCGTGGAGTTCAAATGCCTAAGTCAGTAGGTCTTAAATAGATTCAAAGAGCTGTGATAATAGTGACGAGAAAATGACGTTCGTCAAGATAAGAATGTGGGTCAGATGTGGAAGAAATAGCGTTAGACGGCCAACGTACTCGCGTGCGTGCGTCTCTAGGAATGTAACAATCAACATCAGAAATGCATTATGAAATTGTGCACCACACCAGATTACATAGAATTATTCTCTGCGTTCAATGTTATCAGCTAATGACAGGAAGCTGTATCGCGTATCTCACTCCAAATGTTCTTCACTATCGAAGGCTTTCTTTCTAAGCATTTTAATAGTGTAGGCCTTGGTGCCATTTTTTTGTTACTCGGACAATATAGTATGAGATTAGCTTAATTCATCATAATAAATTCAACTATAAACATCGATTGTTTAGACTATAACTTTCTATTATTTATCTAATAGCTGAAGTAGCATTAGGCATTAAGTTTCATTGGTAAGTTAGTCCTAGACTTAGGACGTAAATTGATCTGCAGTAAGTTACTGCAAATATGAGTGGAAAATATAGCTCCATTTAATTTTATGTTACAGCGGTATGTGCCCTAATGCTGGGTTCGAGACTTGGTTTCCTAGAGCGTTGGATGTCGGGCCGGGCGGCAACCCTAGCATCCGCCGTGAAGGCTCACTTCAGAGCCCAACGAGACTCCTTCTATGGTGCTCCACTATGGAAGTTTGCTCCCACTACACTATACAGAACGTTCGCTAAGAGCGAGGATACCATTCATACGTGAGTTAGTTCCCCTATCTTAATAATGAGCGTAAATATAGTTGTTACGACTTTCGTTATTGACTTGATGATTGATGAGCTATTACTCACAATGCGTGGCCACTGTTTTTTATAAGATACAGTAGTCTGTGACATTGGACGTTGTGTATTTACAGCCAGTACCTATAAGCGCTTATTGTTTACTGATCGTTCAAGTTCACATTGATAGGTATCTATTATTGCGTTTCATAACTATCGCTTTGAGCGTTTGCAGTTTATAAAATAAATATTACTTAATCATCCTATTTAATATAATGATGACGCATGGGTATTGGTTGAACAATGCCTACCTATGTAGAAATATCCTTGGACCGATAAGGTGATCCATTTTATAAATAGATTCTTCCTCACCGAGCTTTTAGCCTTGACTGTTTTTGTGTGGTTCGTTAGATGGAGGTTAGCAACTCTTTTTATGACGCTGAGCAAACGGTTTTTGCACAGCGTGCATAGAATGAAATAAGAATAAAAGTGCAGTTCCTACTTAAACAAAAACTTGCGACCTTGACTTTTAATAATAGCTTAGATGTAGGTCTGTGCGTCTACCGTTTATAAGATTTATGATTCGTTTATTTCATTCGTTTCTTCATATTAATATGGCAATTAGGTAGTCGTAGGTACCTATAATATCGTATACAGTTAGCAATAAAATCAAATTATTGGCAGGATAGTATCGGATCTGATGGAGGAAGCAAAGTTAAAGACGCAAAAAAATGCTAGCGACGAAGCGATGCGAGAGATCTTTATGAGGATTCTGGAAAACCCCGCCCTTGACATGAGGGATAAGAAAGCTGCAGTTATTGATTTTATCACAGCTGGCATTGAGACGGTAAGCCTATTGGGAACATTAATAATGTAGTTTAATTGTTTATAAATATAGTCTTGAAATAGTTCTATTCGACGAATTTCTGACTGCATAAGCATTTACGGAAATAATGCCTTGTTTAGCAAATTCAAGTGCCTACTTATCGTGAATAGCTTGACAAAACAAACATTCTTCTTTTTGACCTAAGGCAAGGAAACCATATAATTTCATCATATCTAAATACTGCTTTTTCTCTAACATGTCCTTTGTTTTTATTGACAGCTAGCGAACAGCCTCGTGTTCCTTTTATACCTACTGAGCGTTCGACCGGATTGGCAACGAACCATTCGCTCCGAACTACCTTCATGCAGTACATTGACTGTTGAGGATCTTGCAGCCGCTCCATCAGTGCGCGCTGCAATCTCCGAAGCTTTTCGACTGTTGCCAACCGCACCTTTCTTGGCCAGGCTACTAGAAACTCCTATGGTAATTGCGGGACATAAGCTGCCTGCTGGGGTGAGTTTCTTTTTTTTACATACAAGATCACATGTCTTTATCCAATAGGGGCTGACAATCACTTACTACAATCTTTGCGTACTTCTAATGCTTCTACTACGGTCATGGACCTGGCCATCTCCATAACTTGACTTTCCGATAGTCCCTCATTTGTGCCAATATATAACATTATTTTAAACTTCGTCCACTGACTTTCTTTACTAGGTTTATGCCTAGTAAAGAAAGTCGATAGCGACCTTAATCAACTATACATCATTAAGAGCGATATTATACGAGAAATCTGCTGTCATCCTATCGACAGCTTTATTGGTTAATTAATAAAATTAGAGTGCTCTAGTAGCTTACGAGGCAGATAATGTAGTTACTGGTGCTATTAAAAGATTGGCAGTGAAAGTCTATGATATAAGTCAACTTCCAAGTTGAACCAACTCTAATTATGTTTTTCTTCTAATTAGGTACTTTTTGTCTCCATTGCGAATGGATTTAGATTTTTTGTTATACTAATTTCAATTTTACAGACTTTTGTGTTAGCGCACACGGGTGCTGCGTGTCGTCGCGACGAAAATTTCTGGCGCGCTCGTGAGTACCTCCCAGAGCGTTGGTTGGAGCCCAGAGCACCTCACGCTGCTGCTCTAGTCGCCCCCTTCGGGCGGGGGCGACGTATGTGTCCTGGGAAGCGATTTGTGGACCTCGAACTACATCTACTCCTGGCTAAGGTAGATATTACCAATATCGCTTTACGCATTGAATTAATTTCAAACTTCGATAAACATTCGTACTTATTCGGTAAACATGTGGGAATCTGCAATACTGTAGCATTTGGGTATTCCCAAATTTAAAACTTTATACTCCTTTTTTTAAAGAACTCCATATGTTTTTAATCTTTTTGAGAACACCTTTGCAGGTTACTAAATAATCCGTTTGAACATGGGATAAAATTCATCTGGAGGTGTTCCTTTAAAAATATCTTCTGAAAGTTGTGACAAACATAATAATCACATTAGTTCTAGTGTGCTGATCTGAGTTTATTTTGTTTACTAGAAGTTGTTCAACCCAGTTGAAGTTTCAAGCACCTTATAGCGTAGTGTAGTAGTTTAATTTAACTTTTTTCTTTCCAGATAATGCAAAGATGGCGTGTGGAGTTTGATGGTGAGTTGGACATTCAGTTCGACTTCTTGCTGTCGCCCAAGTCCCCAGTGTCGCTGCGGTTAGTTGAGTGGTAGTCGCAGATTTATTGTTAAGATTGTAATTGTCTTTATGCTTCGTAGATCATAGTCACTACTTGAACGATTGTACAAGACAATGTTTAGCTTTTATTCAGAGAAATGATACTTAAACTCAACATTTTATTGGGAATAGACGTTCAAGTTGTGTTCTAATGTACCATCTAAACAACTTTCTTTTGAATAAAGGCTGAACACAGTGGGTTTGTATAATTAAAGCTTTACTGAACTAAAGATCGACGTACACCTTTATATCCTATATATTTTATTGTAACGACTGTAATGAAGTCCGTCTTATGTTGCTATATAATGACAGTGTTCGCTTTGTCTTCCAGTTGCTTATTTAAGACCCATCTAACTACTAGTGAAACAGTGAAACCTGGATAAGTGGGATCTTAAGGCTCAGGATAAATTCACTTTAAGATATGTTTCTTTTACCCAGTTTCCCAAATACGCAGGTTAACTTTGCAATTGGCATATTACAAGAGTCCCTACAAAGGACATTATGAAGATCAAAAAAAATCACGCCAGACATATTCTTGCTTATTCGAGTAACTGAGCTAAAAGGTTCTATTGAAGAAATAAGTATCGAAAAGGATCGATGCAAGGATTCCAAAATATTATCGAGTTATTTCAATGCAAAAGCGTCACAACTACATTGTAAATTAACAGCAGATGTTTCATATAATCCAGTGTCCACTTTTCCAGATTTCACTGTACTAAGTTTCTACTTAAGTAAATAATTATGTACCTAAGTGAATGGTCTTCTCAAATTACTTTCATATGTTGTAACTAATTTGTAACTCAGTTGCCATGACAGCTTCGAAGCGTGCGTTACAGGGTATTGGCAAAATCTGCTCAAATCGCACACTTCTTTCTAATTTTGAAAGAACTGTTCACAAATTATTGAATAAGAATGTAATGTATGTAATATTTAATCATAAACTAGATGTAGCTACACAATATTATAAAAATATGGCTGTGTTAATATCAAAAACATATTTATATAAAATGTTATAACCGCAAATACCTCTTGTTATAAGACTGTGTACTGCCAGCACATGCATTTGTCAGGAATTTTAACGAAATTTTAATCTAAGTATAAACATAAGTCTAGCGATAAAAGCATTCCATTTTATAATAAGTTTTTGGTAAACCAGCTTCTACATTTATGTTGAAATCATTAATAAATTAGAAGTGGCCATTTCCTATGATTATTTTGTAATGTATTTTAATATTGGCGATGGCTGTAGGGAGCTACGGCTGAAACATGGATCTTATGCATCCTTGATAGCTTTTTATTAGAATGGATTATTGTATTGTATTTTATAGGAATCACATAAACAAGGACATTGTTATTAAATATATTATTATGAAATGAAGTGAATATAATATTTTAATTAAATATAACACAATAATGTAAAAATGTACTACATATACGACTACGTCTGTGTTTTATTTCATTGGAAAACTCCGTAAACGAATTGTAAACGATTTAAGTCGAAGTAATCATATTTCCTTACGTTTATTGAAGTAGGTACGCATCAGTAGGTATAGCCCATATGGTATTTAGAAATATAGCAGCCCGTATGCCAACGCCATAGTTCGTTTAATGGATGGCCCCTTATGAGGGAGTTACTTATTAAATTACATTATCTACAGGAAAAAGTTAACCTACTTAATCAAAGGTAGGTAATAGGTAAGTAATGTTCACGTGCTGTACCTGATAAGTAGGTACCCTATCTGTAATTAAGTATCAGTAGAAAAATGAGGGAGATGTCGACCATTAGGTATGTCTCGTCGATTAAAGTTAAAATAGGCAAAATCAGTAACTTCAATCAGTAGGACGAAGGGTGTAACTAAAGCCAAAATGATCGTAAAAAACTTTTCGCCTCTTTTATTCCCTAGGGAGAAGGAGGGGGAGGAGATAATGTTACATTCAATTTTCATCAGTTATGTCGTGAGTTGACTGGTGAAAAGTGGATGTTAGTTAGGTAATAAGGGGTGAGCCTGTTGAAAGAAGAAATATGAACATTTGAAAAAAATCTAACATTTTAGAGAAAGGTAATTAATATTTTAGTAGGGAAGCCCAGACGTTACTCGAGGTCATAACGAACGACCTACGGGATTTTTATAATTTGGTAGTTGCAAGATAACAAGAAAAATGGGCGATGATTTGTGATACCTATTACGGCAATAAAAATTATTTTTAACGTCCCAAAAACTGTTGCGGTTATAGTTGTTTTTGGTGATAAATACAACAAATAATTATATAACATAAAAGATAACAAACCGAGGTTTTACAACAACTTGTGGTGAGATAGGTTATCAGTTTTATTTGAATAACATCATACACTTAAACAAAACAATAACTAAACGCACACTTCAATCAGCTGTGTATCAGGCAACATCTGTCACATAACCTCTAACTTTTTATTTATTTTGAAAATAGAACATGAAGTTCTGTGCAAACTTGTCGTTTATGTTCACGGAAGCATCGTCGATGCTCGAAAGATATGCATTGGCTAAGGAAGCTGGATTCAAAGCGGTTGAAAGCGGTTTTCCCTGGGGTTTGACAGTGGAACAAGTGAAGGACGCGAAGGAAAAAGCCGGCGTAGAACAAGTTTTAATCAACTTGAAGACAGGTGAGTAAATAAGTGCTGTTACATTGATAAATTTGTTGATTTCTAGATTAAATTCAATTTGATACCTAGACACTACTTATACATTTTAAATTGATATCTATGGCTGGCTTTTCCAGGAGATGTTACCAAGGGAGAATTGGGAGTTACGGCAGTGCCAGGAAAAGAGAATGAATTTAAAGAAAACTTTGCCGCCACAGTCAACTACGCAAAGGCTTTGAACGCCAGGAAAATTCACATAATGGCGGGGAAACTACAGAACGCGACGTCACAAAACTGGGAAACTTACGAGAACAATTTAAAGTACGCAGCCGGTGTGTTGAAGAATGAGAATCTCCTTGGTGTCATTGAGCCAATAAATCAATATTCCGTGCCTAACTATTTTTTAAGCGATTTTAATAAAGGTATGCAAGTTATTGTTTTATTAGACATCCCTAATCTTGCCAAAGATATTTAATAAATACTTAAAACCCTGTAAACTTGTAAGTTCAGTTGAGTAGATGCTCATTTTTAGACTTCAATGGTTTTGTAATGACTTCAATGTTTTTTTATCACCATAGAATTGACTAAATGTTTAAACATTAATAAACATTAAGTGTAAATCTTTGGTGTTACAGCACTGGATATCATCAAGCGCATCAACAGCCCTAACCTGAAGCTGATGTTGGATGTGTTTCATTTACAACAAATATGTGGAGATATATCACACAGCATTGCTAACTTCATGCCCTACGTTGGACATGTGCAGGTACAGTAAATACCTTTATAAACAATAGATGCAGGCCAATGATTGCTCGATAGGAGTTAATGAAAGATGGTTTAGTAGTTAATGAAAGATTATATGAATAATCATTTTAGACTGATGCATGAGCAAAGCATGTAATACTGTGATAACTTATGAGAATATTTAACAGCTTTGGTAATTCTCATTGACTTGGAAATTTTAAGGAAGTTCCGATAATAGTATCGAATAATTCCTTTAGGAAGATTTTTTAATACCCTAATATAGTCATTTCACTAATTAGAACCATTTAATAATTATTTTTAATTGAAGATTATTGTTCAATGTACATACTTTATTATTGTTATTAGTTTAACTATTTTATAATTGTACAAATGACACAATGATATGAGAAATCAAATGACTTGATTACAGATAGCACAAGTACCAAACCGCAATGAACCAGACACTGCTGGCGAGATAAACTATAAGTATGTACTCGAGCAAATACAAAGCAACGGCTACACTGATTGGATCGGATTGGAGTACAAACCACTAAAGAGTTCCAAAGATGGTCTCGTTTGGGTCAAGAATTATGGTTACAGTCTGTAATACTGAAGATGACAGATAATTAAGAAAAAAAAATGTACTATGTGTAAGACAAATGAGACCTCAATATAAACAACAAATGGTTGAAATTCCAATGGAGAAATATGTATAAAATGCTCAAATTAAATCAATTAAATTATGTAAATAAAAAGTTTGTTGGAATATAAAAACGTTTATTACTATGTATGATTAAAATAATAATGAATTAATAATTAATTAATACTAACTTAACAGTGTTTATGAGTATTATGCACCATTACTCTGGAACTGCTGTACCCAATAGTGCTTCTTCACTGCATCTAGTGATAGCCGCTCTTTGCTTGAATGTCGTAAAAGCTGTAAAGAAGTAGTAACTACTGTACTTTCATATCACGCAACCATAATTACTTTTGTCATTGAACATTTGTTTGAAAATAATTTTAATGTCTTGAGAAGTTGAGACAGATTGATATTGCAATGGCTTTTTGTTACTTCAGAAACATTGATTACTAACAATTAAAACAACTTATGAAAAGAACATAACATCACGCCTTTCATCCCTGAAGAAGTAGGCAGAGGTGCGCATTACGGCACCTAATGCCACTGTACAATGTAACACCCAATTTTCATCATTTATGTTATGAATCCCATGTAATAGGGAGTGAGCCTATTGCTATATACCCGGCACATTTCCAGAGTCTATGCTACTACTGAGAATGTTTTAAAAAAACCAAGTAATACTTTGCCCAACTCCGGAATCGAACCCCAAACCCCTTGCTCAGCAGTCGCACTTGCCAATGAGGCAGTCAAATTTTAAGTAAAGAAAATCTAGTCTTATGAAAAGAAACATTCTTGAAACTAACCTTGGATATAAGATCTTTGGCTCCTTCAGGTACGTAGCTAGGATACACCATATCTAACGCAAGGATCCTGGCGTATGTCTTGTCTTGTCCTTCACTCTCAAACGGAGGCTTGCCCACAAGGAACTCGTACAACAGCACTCCAATGCACCAGTGGTCAACGGACACATCATACACTTCCCGCTTTATCATCTCCGGAGGTAGATAGTCTAATGTACCGCACATTGTTTTACGCCTAGAAATATGCAAGTAATATTTAAGATAAGTAATTCGTATTTATATTAAAACTTACGCGACATATACTAATTAATTATTATGTTTTCGGTTTACTTACGTAATTGTTTGACGAGGTAGTCGACTAGTTTCACGCCATGCTAGATGCTCATATTTATGAGCATTCCGCGACCCGCGACGCGGCGCTGTCGCGCTGCGCTGCTACGCTCTGCTACTAGTCGAGTTCCTCGTCAAATAGTTACGGGAGTAAGCCGTAAACGTAATAATTAATAGGTAAGTTATTTGTGTTATTGAATTTTTAAGTAGTAGAGTATAATGGGATGGCATGTTTATTGATCAATGAAGACTGAAGAAGAACTGATTGATTTTTCACTAATTTGATCGTAACATTATTTTTGATCTAACAAACAGTCAATTTCGAATGCTAAATATCTTACTCTTACCTCTCAGAAGGTGCATGCACAGACCAGCCGAAGTCTGCCAACTTCAAGTCCCCACTGAAGTCCACAAGTATGTTCTCAGGCTTGATGTCTCTGTGTATCACATGGTGCTGGTGACAGTATTCCACTGCATCTGCAACCTGGAATCATAGACAAAATTATAAATAGTAGAAAACCTCTTAATGAAGGTGTTAAACTTCTTTCTCATTAGAATGCATTTATTTCTGGTCTGGAATTTTCAATTTATATTTGTGTTTGTAACAAAAGGATTTTCTATTGAGTACTCATTGGAATGTTAATTATGGACATGAAGACACACTATTGTTTATTTTCTGAGATTAATCACAGAAATGCAATGAACAATTGTTACAACCAGCTATGAAAAAAATATTTCATGTTTTACCTGATAAATGTATTTAGCAGCTTTGGCTTCAGGGAAACGACCCTTGGGTGAGTTAGTAAGATGTTTGTAGAGCTCTCCTCCTGCTGCAAACTCTACAACTAGATATATACGACGCATATCATGGAACCAGGTCAACAGACGTAATATATTTGGATGCCTACAAAGGAAAAACATTTTATTAGAGATCCATTGAGTGATTTGGAAAAGTTGTTCTCTCACTTTTTTTTAAGGGAAATGTAAAGTAAATGGCATCGTATACGTTACCCTATAGGGAACTTACTTCAGATGTGACTGAATCTCTATCTCTCGCATCACTTGCCGTTCACATTTGGATCTTTCTATCTGAGATTTGAACAATGTTTTGATGGCCACTAAATAACCAGTTTTCTTCTCTCTGGCGACGTGAACGTGTCCAAATTTGCCTTGACCAAGAGCTGACCCGAGCTCAAAGTCTCTAGGAGACCATTTATACCTAGAAATATAAAAACAATACGTAAAAAAACATTTTTCTATCTTTGTATGTTTAGCACAAGGTTTGACAAATTTACGTACGCATTCCCATATGCCTCATGGTTTATTATTTTGTTTTCCAATTCCAGCACGTCACTTTTCATTGTCATAATACTTATTACTTATTTTTACAATTTCAATTCGCTGTTTTTTCAATAAAATTAATAGAACTTGTCAGTCAATACAAACAACACAACGTCTTTTCGTCGTCCGTTACGTTTTGAATACTTTGTTGACAGTTTGACAGAAGAATATTCTCTGTTACACGAAACGAACTATGACTGAATGAAAAAGGATACTGCCAACATTACGAACCCACCACTGGTAGTCTCGACATTGATAATAACGACTTTACAACTTAACGACAGTAATCGATCGCTATGTCGTGTGTCTGTAGCTGGATTTTTTTTATACCACGATGTTGGCAAAAAAGGAATACGGTACGCTTGATGCAGTGCAATATACCCATATATATTTTTCAGTTTTAATTAGGTAATTTGCTTTTAAATTGCATTTAAGCTTCGGAGACAGAATCGTTCGTAGTAAGTGAATGTAGCTTAAGTTGGCAAATTGGAAATAGTTTTATTTATATTTAATAGCTTGACGTTTGTGTTTTTACTAAAATATAAGCTCCCAACTCCACACTACGATGTATAGGGGCCGAGCAGCGGGTGAAACAGCACGGGACCAACAATTTTTTTTAGATAATAATGATCAAAATCCCCAAGCCGTCAGCGGTGACCGCTTTCTACTAATTCCATTGTGTAGGTACATTATTTCCGATGTTTAGACTCTATTTTTCTATGAACAATTTTTGGGGATTTTCGGTACGACACATCAAATGATTGGGAGTCAGCTTCAAGTGAGTGCTTCAGCTATATTAAAACTAGATAGGTATTCTGTAAGTATTGCTCGTATGATTTCTATTCCATAAAAAAAGGTACCCTTCATCACTATATCGAAGTGATAAATTTAAAATGAGTGCAATTTACGTAGGTAAAGTTGCAAGCTTTTGATTCCATAAAAACTAAAATACTCCAGATTTTGTCGCCGATTTATATTTAATAACTGATATTTGACCAGCTTGCGGCTTGCTGCTATCTTGTCAAATCCTCAAAGTCCTGAGTAAATATTATTTCTCAGGTAATTAGAACTCTATCGGTTACAGAGGGAACGAGGTAGTTTCAGAAAGAGAAATACTTTCCTCATAAAATACACACCAATATCACTGTTTGAAAAAAAACATAAACATATTTGTTACAAAGTAACAACAGTAACTGTTACAAACTACCTACGCTAATCTCTGAGTGGAGATCTAATCGGACTTTTCGTCTAGTTAATGGGACTTTTACTGGAGTTTAAGGGTGTGTCGATTAGCTGGATAACGCTAGGATTTTCTTTCTTTTGCTGTTTTCAAAGAGATTATTATCGTTATAATTATAGTACCTATCAGGTGCTCAGTCATTTGTGATGTTGGATATTAATAGATATTATTCATAACAACATACTGTTACGATTTTTCCCGGAGGGTGCCAATGCAGAGATGTGCAAATGTAACCAATTTTTACAATCCTTATGTTATGAAATATATAATAGGCGAGAGGATGAGTCTATTCTATTGCTATATACCGGCCACAATAATCAACATCAGTACATATACATAACAGTAGTTGCTTAAAACTTGTCATAAAAATAACGATCACTTTGCAAAAAAACTACGCAGTAAAAATCTCGTCGGTGTAATTATGATGCTCAAGTGAAGTTAAAGGATGTACTTAGTTGCCAAGAGGAGGTTAGTGCAGCGTGGGTGCGTTGTTATGAAAACACTCGTTGGCTAGGGCTGGGGTAAGGAGGGAGGGGGTTAGGGTGCTCCCTAACCCACCCCAACCTTAACGAGCTCAACCCCCATTACTAGATCTGTTTATTTCCGAACGCACCGATGCCTGACACATAAACAGATAGCAAATGTAATTAATTTCAGCTTTCATAACATTAATTAAATGTTGTCGCGTTGAGTTTGGTAGATGTTTTTTTATTTTGCCACAATTGTACACTATGTTATGTGTTTCATCGAGGCTTTGGGAGTGAAACAAGTTAGACATTTTTGTATTAACTACATTGATTTTTTAAAATAAAATATTTTGTAAAACTCAGTGTGTGGCTTCTGAGGAATATCACTGTGAACAGTGATATTCCTCAGAAGCCTACGCAAGCTTGACCTAAGTAGATATTGTAGATAATGTTATGAAAAAAAATCAGGATCAAAAATCAAACAGAGACGCAAGAATGCGAAAATATTTACTTTATTCTTATAAAAACACGGCACAAAAGGGACTTAAGAAAGTAATTTGTTACACAATCGATGTCGTTATAATACGCTTACATGTATCAGGATCAGATGATGTTATAAGTTAATATAAAACAAACAAAATGCGCAGTACATCGCGCGGCGAGAGTTTCCTAGCCACCCCCGGTACCGAGCCGGTGGCGGGAAAGCGTGGAAAACGCGCGCATGGGGTGGCGGGCCGGGCTCATTCCGTGGTGAGGCGCCGCTCAATCGATACACCGCTTTTGTACGACAAAATCAACAATTTTACCTTTAAAATATCATACAATTTTCCAAACATTTCCTTATGATTTTATTTAGAAGTATTATTTGTGGTGCAAGTGAATTTGTTGAGTATTTGCGATGTGTTACGAACCATAAACAAGTGCGTCGCAAAACCGCTTCAGTCTAGGTAAGTAATAATTATTGGCACGTTGAGATGACCTAGTTATCGCCCTCGTGTAGGACCTGTGCCTGTCTCGTAATTTAGTGTTATTTCGCAGCAGTGGTCAGTTTTTAGAGCTAATTTATAGTTATTTCTATTTTTTTTCTACGCAGTAAGTAAGCAGGAAAAGGAAAGAAATGCCTTTCACTTAGTATATAAATAACTAGAATTTATTATTATTTACTTACGTATATCCACTACATTTTGCGAAAACTTTTATTTAACAAGTAAGACGATAAGAGTGAGCTTAGACTGACGTCCGTACAATTTGTTTTGGTGGCACGCAATTTTAACGAGTCATCAAAACATTTCCGCAGTTATAATACATTTGATGTTTAGATAATGAGATATTGTCAAATATTTCCATCTTCCTTACTGTATCATTAAAAGTTAAGCTCAATTTCCCTTTTCAATGATTACACCGAAGTCTGATGGCAATACCAATTTCTCGTAGTAGGTACGTACCATAATGTCCGCCCCCACAGAATAAATTTCGAAATCGTGAGTGTCATTGACCGTGAGTTTGTGGCACAGTGCCATTGCCACCCTTGTCGTCTCGCATCGAGCCAAATCCGTCACCTCCGGTCCTTAGCTTAGGGGCCAGAGGTCCGCTGCCAAAACGACTGCACTTACAAGTCACAATTGTCTGAATATTGTCTTCAATTAATGAATGAGAGAAGTTTGCAAATCAGTGTCTGCTACTGTAGTAGTAGATGGTAATGATTTGTTCGTATCTGTCTTCATCTTGGTTACATTGTGCGTTCTCTGGTTTGGTAGTGTTTTCCGGAAAATGTGCATGTTTGTATAGCAATATTGAAGCTTTTTTGCTTAAGTTAACTTATTGGATAATAATGAGTTTGTAAAGGTTTGTTTATTACATAAATATTGCAACTTTCATAAGCATTACTTTTCGCATAAGTGCGCAGTACGCCTAAAAGGGACATGAACCTTTCTTTTCATTCATTAAAGTGGAAATTATGCAATAATACATGTTGAAATTCTCCAAATATGGTGTAGTTATAAGAGACATGATTTAACACTTCCAGCTTTAACACTATAATTAACAATCTCGATTTACTTTCGTTCCGATACACAACAGTGATTAAAGTACTACCTTTTTCCTTTCGCTTAGTAATTGTTCGTTTGTTTAAACATATCTGGCTGGGTATCGACAAGAACCCAATGGTCGAAAGTCGGCCCTTCGCGAGGAAAGCTGTTTACAGTCGGTAACCAGTCAAACATCGACAGACTCGAGTGTGAGACCACGGGAGAAAAGCTAGTGTGACCATTTGTGTAACTGCCGGATGAGTGAAAGGTTGGAAAACAGAAATTTATAGGTACATAGACACATGTCAACAGTTCTAATGGGTTGTAAAAGACAGTTTTATAACTACTGCGCCCATTTCAGTGCAGCTGTCATCATAAAATTAGGGTTTCCTTATGATTTGATAAATGGGTTAATATACAAAGTGGTCGAGATAATAGAACAGCTGCCGTGATGATGTTTAGAGAGTTTTAATTGCATTGAGGTAATTCTATTTGAAGCTTAATAGTTTAGTGTGGTAGGATTGTAATAAATGCTACGAATTCATTCCGGGATAACGAAATAATTAAATCTCTGGTAATGTAATTTTCGAAATGTTAAGGAATCTGTGGTTTACGTAAAGTATTCTTTTGAAACAATACTAAACTGCATGCAAATGTTACATTAGGTTGTACCTACTTCCTTAAGGATGCGCTTAGATTTATTAATAGCTAATCTTAATAAAAAACATCTCAACAACTCTCAAAAAGTTGGAAGTCTTCATAAAATAAAAGAGATGGTGTCTTCAGTGTAAAGGTACTTGATTAAAGTACCGCTAACCGATCGGTAGGGCCAGAGACACTTTCACTGTCTGCGATCATCTGATAACTGTCGGTTTTGACACAGATACAATACTACTAGGTACTGACTGTTTACATTCCTCCTGTAATCGGCATTACTTGTCAGCCGACCGTGTAATCCTGTAACGGACAATACAATACACGAATCTTAAGGGTATTACGAAAAGTGGCTAAGTAAAATGCTAACGTTAAAAAGCCGTATTTCTTAACATTCGTAACTCAATACGCACTTTAAGTGTATTTAGTTTTAAAGGAATTGTTTGAGTGAAATTTTTAGTAGTAGTAAATTAGACCTTGATTTGTAATTATTAGGTCTGTAATTCAGTAGGTAATTTCTAAAGTTGTATCTTTCTATATCTACATTTGAATTGCTGGTAGACTAAGACAAGTTTGATTATAGCCATGTTTTGTTTAGGGGTCTGCTCATAAAGGGTGCTCACTGGACCTTATTATTTAGGGAGCCGTCGCCAAAGTCAATGTCACAGAACTATACTTTTGTGTATAAACATTTCGTTTTGTTTATAAAATGATTTACTTTCTGTTTTAGCACTGATTCTGTATGAGAGTGTGCATTAAACAATCATAATGTTTTTGTACCTAAAAGTTCAACCATACACGTATGCCCACGGTATTTCTGCTATGGTAAGGCACATATTATTGTGTTTCAATAAAACAACATATGAAAAATACCTACCTCATAAAAACCCGCCCGGGGCAAGATGGCCCTCTCTTGTCGCGTTTGCATATGAATTTGCGAATTTTCCATGGGGTGCCTTGAATTAGATAAGGGTGCAGTTATTGGGAACCGCTTGTAGTGTGGGGGAGATTTCCATTTTATGGTATTGCAGTTCTTGTTTAATAAATTGTAATTGAATGTTTTGGAGGCGATATAATTTATCATCTTTGGCAGGTCTAAGTGTTTATTGCATCGTTATTTTGGTGGACTAGGAATGTACTTAATCAATTTCATTGTCTATATCATCGGAGTTCCAAGGATATTGTGCAGTTAGTATAAGCTGCAAGCAATGTTAACTATGTAGCAATAAGCCCAGGCTCGAGAAAGTTCCATCTTGCTAACAATGTGCGGTGTCACAAAATGTCAAAGACGGTCATAAATTGTGAGATTTCAAGATTCCAATAAGACTGCATACTTGCAGCCACCTGTATTAAGTATGTCATAGTAAGTACAACCAGTTTTGTCAGTCGTCTTACGAGTTACAACATTTACGAGTACGGGATAAGAGTTACAAGTTTTGTCTATGTCTATGTTTAAGGAACGTCGTCTTCATCGACGAGCATATAGCTTCACTAGAGGACTAACCGACAGACTGACATTTTTTCTTTAGTACTAGCTTCTGCCCGTGACTTCGTACGCGCAATCCCGTTTTCTCCCGTTCCCGTAGGATTTTCAGGATTTTTTTTGTCATAAGAACCTTCTCCTAATTATAACAAAAACCTACAACAAAAAAAAGAATTAGTGGAATCGGTCCAGCCAATCACGCGTGATGCCGTGACCAAGGGAAAAGGGATTCATTTTTATATATATACTTAGATTTAAATATTTTGTTTTGGCGTTCAAAAGTGCCTTCTTGGTCTAACTAAATAAATGATTTTGACTTTGACTTCGTCACGTCTCGTCTTGAAACTCTTCAAAGTTTGGCTAATGCTTTCTTTGTTTTAAAAATGTATGATATTGAAGTTTGTTTGTCAGAAGCTGGGCTGTGCATAAAAATGAAGGTTCCGCAGGGAAATCAGTATGATATAGGATTATGAGTAGGGTTAGGTTGTCATGCAAATCGTGGTAGTGTTATAATTTGGGATCCATATTTTGATTACTGATTTCGTACAGATTAATATTAAACTTACTGGAGGGTCTGAAACATAGATTGATGTATGGCAGTTAAGTCCTCAATATGTCCATTTAACCGTCGAAGACATGTTTGTTTGTTTGCGTGACTACAACCAATTCAAAGTTAGCGTCGCGTCGGCGTCGTTTGACCATTACGTATGCAGGGCTGCCCATCTCTTAGATTAAGTTCTTCCATTTTATACGAAGAGTTTGCCTCATTAATTTGCCATAATACAAGGTAATGGCAACCTTGATGACGGTCGTCGGTTGAAATAGAGCAAATCGCGTCGGTCGGCGACCGCTACACGGCCCATTGTGAATTATTAAGTGTCCTACTATCTCCTTGCCTGTTCGAAGTATGTACTTGTATCGCGACATAGATTGCAGACAACGTGTACCTTAAACAGTACCTGGTATGCTAATATAGTTAAGTACCTATATAGTATGCTCTTCATCTATCTAGTCATCAGTAGGTAACGTTCAACTAATTCAGTTTGAAAGTAATATTTCAATTCGGGATGTCATGGTTATCTGAACCCATTGTTAGGTAATCCAAATTAGTAATTCATAAGTGGTATTCTAAATAAACTTAAGGGCTCGTACACAAAACTGCCATGCTCCATGTACACATCGCAAGAACTTGCGAATTGATTCGCATCGCGCGTCATAATTTTATCTTTCCAAAATCTTCGTTGTTTCTTTTCCTGAATCTTGTAAGCAATAACAGAAGTGCACACTTCTTTTTACGATCCATGTCACGAGTCACGATCAAGTTTTCAATATAAAATAAGTTTAGTACGGTTGACGGTCGTTGAAGGAATGTTCACGCATCGCATTGCAGTTTTGTGTACGAACCCTAAGTTAATGTAAAGTGGCGAATAGTAAATTCATTTCATTTGTTTACTTCGTTTCACAAAATGTTTCAAAATAACACCAAAGTAGCTGAAAGAAACTTCTATTCTTAGATTTAAGTACTTATGTATGTACTGAATATATTCATGTCATTCAAAGTTACGACACGAATGTCGATTCTTTTTTATTAAATTCGCTAGTCTAAATGTATAGTCAGTAAGCGCCTATGTTGAATATTTACATCGTTTAAAAAAATAACGACTACTGCAGGGTTTAAATCGTTAGTTTTAACGCTATTAACGGTGACCCAAATGTGATCATAGCAGGCAATGCACTTTTCTTTATAGTGATGGTGTTTATAACTAGTTGTTTTGAATAAAACGATAAATAAACCGTTATTTTACCACAAATAGTTGTCGTTCAAGTTGCGGTTGACCAAAACGTTTCCAAGTGGAATTCTGTCAATCTAAAGATAACACTACTTGTGTTGTTGCAAACTGTTGTTTTAGAGGAATAATGTTTTCAATAGAACGTAGAATTGTCTACCATAGTTAATTCCCTTTGTCAGAAGTTTGTCGTTTCGAGATGGTCCGGCTAGTTTGAAACAAGATGTTCGGAGCTGTTCGTCACTGTTAATTGAGATGAAATAATACTTAAACCTTATGGTGAAACATGGAAAACGTGAATATGCAAAACAATATAGAACATGAAACCTACTTGCACGCAAACCTCTTTAAGTCAATCTTAGCCCTAGTTCAAAGACTACTTGTTTTTCACTTAACATTTCTACTTCTACCTATTTTACAAAATTAATTATCTACTTTAATACCACAACACTTTGACCAATGACTGTAATCATATATTATTACCGTAATTGGGATACTTGGTGTGTGTTGTTATTCAATTTTTGTGTATTATCTATCCACAATACCTGTAATTGAACCGTTTACTTCGGCTCATAGTAATTGCTGACCACATTTTACGTACACACGTAATCATTTGCAATCTTTAGTGATAGAGATACCAATTTCCAGTCAAAAGTATTGTCTCTTAAAGTAGGTAGTAAGGTTACTTTGGGAGACCACCGCCATCTATAATTTCACTTTCATCTCATTTTATCACGACCTTATCAAATCTAATTGGCACTTTTCTCTTTCCAGAGAATAACTTCACGAAATTGGTAGGCGTCGCAAACAACGGACTGTTTCAAAGTGTGGACCTTATGTTAGTGAAATTATATCGAATGTGAGGTTAGGAGTTTTTCGCGGGAAGATTTCAAGATGGCGACCGCGACACAACCGTCGTGCATGAGCACGGAACATGGGTGCGTCATGTTCGACTGCCTCGTGCATCTTTGGGAATGGTGAGTTATAGTTTTATTTACCTACTATTGTTTGTAACTATTGTCATGCCTATTTTTCCTGAAGAGATAACGTGTAGGTACCGCCAAAGTTGTATAGCCTTTATAAATTACTAGCGACCCGTCCCGACTTCGCACGGGTGCAATACACATGTATTATACATATAAACCTTCCTTAAGAATCACTCTATTAATTTAAAAAAATCGCATCAAAATCCAATGTGTAGTTTTAAAGATCTAAGCATACATAGGGACAGACAGACGGCGGACAGCGACTTTGTTTTATACTATGTAGTGATGATGAAGTACAATGTGACCTTATTTTCATCAAAAACAAAAAGTTTGTGGAATACCTTTACAGTGCAATTTCATGTTATGGTAGTCAAAATATCTAATTCAAAAACAAACCATTATCTCTTGACAATGTCAGATATAATTTTGATGGCAGAACGCAATTAGGGAATATCGATCAAGCGTTCTAATTGACATTTAATAGGCACAGTGGAAAGCCACAAATCAGTCTTTTTTCCGGTTGATTGTAGTCATTATTTAGTAGTTATTTACATACTATACATTTTTTATGTTCCAAGTGATAAACTTTATAAAAATGTATGGAGAAATTACTTTTTAAGTAGGTACTTTACACAACTAAGGATTGTGTCATTAACAGCCAGTCCCAATGGAATAGGTTGAGGTCGAATTTTGACATCAAATACATTCATAGAAAATGTTATAAAGTCGTATATCTAACTGGCCGTAAATAGTAAAAACTGGGAAACTGCTTCAAAAGGCAACGACCACAGATTGTAAACGGTGAGATTTTAAGGAAAAAGTTTTATGCCATTAGATATTTCCAAACATTTAAAAAAATGTCATGAAGTTTCCACTAACGTAAATATATTTTTTTTTAGTAAGAACGTTGCTCTACATTAGGATTTTTCCTGTGTCGTGGGTGCGCTTACAAACATACAAGTTCACACACTGAAACCCAGACCCGAAACAACAATTTGTGGATCACACAAAGTGTTGTTCCGTGCAGGAATCGAACCTGCGACACGTTGCACGGCAGCCGGTTGCCCAGCCACCGCAGCAACCGTGCATATAAATATTTTAAATATTTTCATACATACATAGCACAGCACTTTTCACTTACGTATTTTCCTTTATGTTAGGGAAGACAGCGAAGCACTAAGTGCTATAAGGTATTAACATAAAGTCTAGCTACTTTTCCTCATAAAGGAAACTAGAGGAGTATTTACGACTTTTTACATCATTTAAGATTGCTTGTACTGTTATAGTGTTGGGGTACTTCGGAATAAAAAGGTCCAACTTGCAGATAATTAAGTTTAATAAAAATGGTTTAAAATCAATAATTAATATTTTAACTGGTTATTTAAACTTCACTGGCAATGTCACTGATTGAGAGAGTCACTGGATGAGAGAGTCACTGGATAAGAGAGTCACTGGATGAGAGAGTCACTGGATGAGAGAGTCACTGGATGAGAGAGCCACTGGATGAGGAAATGACTGGTTAGATCGGATTATGAATTAGTAGGTACTGTCTAATGTCGTGGTGGCCCGGAGGTTTAATAAGACATCCGCTTCTCATTCATGAGGGTGCGGGTGTCTTAAAACCCGCACCCTTCAAAACCTACCAACGGAAAGTACTAATGTGACTTTTTCCGAGTTATATGTACTTTGTAAGATTATTCAGACACCACTGATAAACGGTGAAGGAAAACATCGTGAGGAAACCTGGGCTTATAATTTCTAATTATAAGTTTGTAATCGCCAACCCGCATTGAGCAAGCGTGGTGATTAATGCTCAAACCTTCTCCGTGTGAGAAAAGGCTTTGCTCAGCAGTGGGCATTTATAGGCTGTTGATGAAGTAAATCTGTCTCACGGGATGACAGGCAAACTCTGGGTGGTCACACACACATGCTTAAAGTGCATACACTGTATAACAGTACGTATAATAAGAAGTAGTTGCAGTTACGGATATCACTCAGTAACTTAAGGACGAAGTTTCTGTATAACACTTATGGATAACCAAACCCGGCTTATGTATTCTCAAAGATAAACATGGTCTATCCAGGAACTGAATCTCTCTCGACGTTTTCAAGTCAATAAGGTTACAAGAGTCACTGTAACAGTCTAAACAACTAAAGTTTATTTTCCCAAAGTTCTTCATTTCCTAAAGTAATAATCGATCGTTGTGTCTATTTATTTTCCTGTCAATGGTGGCTACATCGCTTTACCGCATGAAATATTAAAGATGTATAGTACCAGGTGATAAATATTGCGCATATGTTTACAATGTTTCTGAAAAGAGACTAAGAAAAATACTTTATGATAACATTTTATAACATCACGCGTTTTTATCCCCGAAGGGGTAGGCAGACGTGCACATTACAGCACTTAATGCCACTGTACAATGTAACATCTACTTTTCACTTTTTATGTTATGAATCCCATGTAATTGGAGGTGAGCCTATTACCATATACCAGGCACACTTCCCGACTCCGTGCTACTACTGATATTTTTTTTTTTAAAACCCAGTAATACTTTGGCCGAACCAGAAATCGAACCCTTGCCCGGCACTTGCGACCACTCGGCCATCGAGGCAGTCCCGGTCACAGTATTTTATGATACTTTCGATAAAATTAATTAACTTTTAATGGAAAAGCTTGATATGCGTCTTAAACATCGATAAAAAACGCAAAATGTGCAATATGATTCCCCGGGTATTGTAGAGCAATTTCTTTCTCTGTGGCGTCGACGATGTCAGAGCAGTCTGTGACAGCTCTTGTGTACCCAGTGTGCACTTGGAGCCCAGTATAAACTGACCTTCGAATGTGCGGAAAGATCCTACGAAGCGAGAGCATGATAAACTGGTTGTATAGTTCCATGTGCAGTCGTGTAGTACCTACTTGTGGTACGGAAACTGTCGGCTGTCGTCTCATCCACCACAAAGCCACGTCTCTCAGGACTGCGCAGTAAATAAACTTCACACCACACAATGGGTTTGTTCCCTTTGTTGTGTGGCCTGTGAAACGTCTAGGGTTAGAGGAGGTTTAATAACTAAATGTTTTGATGTATTGTTTTGGTAGAATTATCATATGAATAATTATTTTTATAATTATGTGCATCAGTCGTATCGACTGATTTGAACTTTTTATTGTGATGAATAAGTATTAGGGGAAAGCTTTAATGAAATAAAATATCTATAATTCTTTGTGAAACTAGAGCGAGTTTTTATTACCTATATGTAAATGATTTTCTAAGTAATCGGTATTTATGATCTTTCCCATATATATAAATTATTACTAGCTTCTGCCCGCGACTTCGTACGCGTACCATCCCATTTTTTCCCGTGGTGGTGATTTTCGGAAAAAAGTAAAAAAAAATATTTTTGGTTTAAAAGTATCCTATGTCGGTCTCCTGGCTCTAAGCTACCTCCCTACCAATTTTCAGCCAAATCTATTCTGCCATTCTTGAGTTATAAGTGGTGTAACTAACACGACTTTCTTTTATATATATAGATTATGTTTACGGCTTACTCACGTAATAATTTGACGAAGAACTCGACTAGTTTCAAGCCATGCTAGAGGCTCATATTCATGAGCAGCATTTCGCGACTCGCGACGCGGTGTATGTCGCGCTGCTACTTTCCCATATATACTCGTGCTTTCTTGGTATTTTACAGGAATTTACAGGCACTGATCTGTAACACACCACCCACAAACGAAAATATACCACAAATCGAACTAAACCAATTTCTATGTACTTTTGGTAACTTTATTTCCGTACAAACGTAAAATAAAGTTTTGATCACGTACCGCGGTTCCATTTATGTAGTTTTCCGAAAATAAAACGTAAGTTTCCGGTGTTACGTTTCAATATTCATTGTGAAGCTTTCCATGGTGTCTACTTGTAGTGGAAGCGGAGCCGGTAATGAACTGTCTAGACTGCAGACGAAGCTATTGTTGGAAAATAAGGCCTTGCGTAGTGGATGTGTCTAGTCTCTGATAGACGAGGGATATTAAAAGAAATGAGGTTTTATTTTAGAACAATAATTTATGAGTGTTTTAGTAAAAGGTTTTTTCATGTTTCGTTAAGCGAGTCCCGAGTGCAAGTGTTCTGAACGTCTTTGAATAAAGTCTCGGGATTGGCAATGTATTATTGCGTTAATTATAGCAAGGAGTTTCACATTGATTAAACAATGCGTTGGTGCTAATAAATTTTAAAAGGACATATGGATCGCTTATAAAACTTTTAAAATGTGAATTTCTATTACATTTGGATTCTGGTTGTAAAACAATTTAAAATTTCATTTACAGAAAATTGCATATATGATTCACGTCGAGTCATAAAATAACAACTAGGTACGTATATTGGTACGAAATAGAACCTCATTTAACTGGATTCGTCTATTGCCACAGTTAATTGTGCAAAACAGGTCTAGTTTTACGTTAATAGTATTTCTTTTATAGCCACCAACGTATTGAAACAATCTACGTCGTTCATCTAATCTTAGATCAAACGTTTTTGACTCAGAAGGTGAATTATATTTTCGAATCGATTCGGTCTAAAGTCACCCAACCGACGCTAACGCTCACTAGTATCCGTTTCCTACCAAAATGGCGGCACGCGAAATTGAAATTTCATGTCCAATTTCAATTTTCATCTGTTTGAAATGCTATCCGTGTTAGTTTATGTTACTAGAAGGTGTGTCACATTTATTTCAACTTAAAAAAGTTTACAATCTATAAGGGATTTGTGGAAGTAGCCGTTATACACAAGATAAAATCAATGGATCTAAAGATATCATAATTAAGTTTTCTATTTGATGCTTTGAGTTACAATAATCCTCAGTATTTTTATAGTGAAGTATATCGCGATTAATCGCTGAGTTATATTATATATCTATCTCTTTTAACTAAGCGCTCTTGAAAATTTTATACATCTTTCAAAATGAACACGAAACTTCCAGAAACATAA